AATCAAAGTGTGAGGCTATGATCTTACCAAAGTGAATGTAAAGAAAGAGTTAGTCGTCATCATTTCCTCCTTTTTTAGTTCTAGTGGAGATGTTAGTCCAGTGCGAGCCAAGAATTTCCAAACTCGAACTTCACCAATATTCAAAGCTATTTGCAACGCTTTCTAGTTTTCCCCCCTCTCTATCGACGTGCGTTCCTTTCTACATAGGCCCGTTAGCGAGCTCCCATTTACATTCAATGGCAATATCTTCTTTGAACTACCACCTCTTGTCAACTCAAAACGAAAGGGGATGGAGACCAAATAGGACATTCACAACTAGTGCAAGATCAAGACCATACATTTCCAACATTTCGAAGGCATAGTGTCCATGGTTCATTATGGTAGGTATTTGGATTGTGTGAATAAAGCATGCAATAGAGAGCGTGGTAAAAACTCCACATATTTTGAAAGATTTGCAACTAATCCTCCCATCTGTGACACCATTGGTGTTGGATTCAAGTGTCGGTTTTGCAAAAATGCTCCATTGTGTCATGCCATTTGCGGGGCCAAGATGTACTATTTTCTTCCATAGGATGGAGAGGTTGGTAAAGCTGCAATATATATTGGCACACACACACATCCAATGCAGAAAGGGATATAAAGGAGTTCAGTCAACTATTTCAAAGATGCAGTGCATATAAAGACTGTGAGAAACTCATTTGCAACTCCGAAGCATGTTCAAAAGACAGTTCTCAAGGATTTTATCGCAAACACTTTACTTGATCTAGATTACAAGAATACTCAACTGGATGAGGCTAGCTTGCGGGAGTTACTATGACATGTGCAACCTGCAACTAGCCTTAGGAGGTATGAAAATATTATTACATACTTTTCAATAATATCTCTCTTATATTTTGTTTTATTTAGGATAAAGTCTTGGATGTGTGAATCTCAAGAGGGGAAACTCTAATAAAAAATCGACTTAATCCTTGAACTAAAATAGACTTGTCCCTACAAGTTTATCCATGAGAGTTTATTTCCAAATCAAGTCATTACCCCTTCATTTTCAAAATGTCTACCATGGGCCTTGCTTTTAGTATGGATCTTGTTTCCCGAATGGATATGTCTAAGTCAAGTGACCTTGTTAATGCATGGTACATTTTGACCATATGGAGCGGGTGGCAAGTTGGACAACCATGGGAGCTCATGTATATGATTTGAGGTAGTTTTTTTTCTCATTATCTTAAAATGGTTTTAAGCATTGCCCTTTTCACAGACTACATTGTAACTTGACAATTGCAACAGTAGAGTTTAAAGTACAAGACTAGATGGCTCAAGAAATATTTTGGAAGTCCCTCTCCAACATTGTATTGAAGCGGACTGGTAAACCTACCAACTTTTGTGGTTTCATGGCAGATGGGGCTAAGGCTAATTGGAATAGTGTCTGAGCAGTCTTTGGGAATGGTCAACCTGTAGAAGGTCCTGAGAGGACTTGTAAGTTCCATTGGGCTCAAAGCCTAAACCAACACTGCCACCTTATCAAGCCAAATTTTCAATTAACATTTAAGGAGTTGTGTAAACAATGGCAGGCTACATCTTCTGAAGAAGAGTATGAGGCAAAAGCAAATGAGATCCAAATGTGGTGGCGTGAAAATGGTCATACTGATGTAAGTTGTCTACCACAACTTGAGTCGTGGTTGGGGTGGTGGGAAGCTAAAATGTTCCAATGGGGACATCACTTTTTTCAGGTTGGTTTTTCTTTTTTTCTACTTTTTAATATCATCTTTTTATAAGGATCAACCACTTGAGGATCTTGCATACACCCAAACTGTGAATCTCTCAGAGAGTAAACATTGGAGTTAGCATTCCTCTAAGGCAGGGATAGGAAAGATGAGTCTATATGAAGCATGTCTATCAGATTTGATACACGCTGTAGAGTAGTCTTCAAAAGCCTTGGAATTTGAGGAAGGAAGATACATGGGAACAGGACCTTCGGTTGAGATGTTACACGATTGGATGAAGAAGAAAGTGACTCCACCAGCACGAACAGTGGCAACTGCAATGGAGGAAGTGGTCTGCAGCACATCTATAAAGTACACTCCCCAGGCTTTTATTGGTGATATGAAGACCGTCTGCTCAAAGCATCGTTTTTCCTTTGCTGGTGAAGATGTTGATACGAATCTTGGAGCAAAAAAACTCTCACAGGCGTAATATTGAGTATCATTCTACTCCAAGACATCACCCCCGAACTAAGCCACCTCAAGTGGCTAATGAAGAAAATGCATCACAGCAGGTTGAAATTGTTTATCATAGCGTGGAGCCGAAGCAATGGGCAATCCGTCGAGTGCCAGAAAAATCAAATGTAAAGTATGTGAGATGCTTTCAAGGGGCAATTGTTGGGTTTGGATCCATGGTGACAAGTCTGCTTCTGTTCCAGCCCCATGTTTCCATGGGGAACAAAAGCAAGTAGGATTTTCAAGATGGTGTTGGCTATATTGTTGCAACACTGATGTCAACCATATAAAGCAGCTTGAAGACATTATATTGACTAAACTTGATGTAATACCTAAAGAATGGCTAGTTGCTAATGGGGTTGCGCTCACCTCGAATGAGATTGAAAACCTTGAGAAATCTGGTTTCAATCTTGAAAGGAAAGTTGGAGACATGAGTGATAAAACCAGGACTATTCCTACAAAGATGCATTGAAGGCCAGCAAAAAAAGGTAAAGCAGTTAAATTTATTGCTACCGTCTCCAAGCAGAAGTAAGGTAAAATAAACTTGGCTCAAACACTTGAGTGTGAGATTTTCTCCATGAAGTACATCACAGCGCTTGCAAAGGAGTACATAGTCAAAACAAAAGGTAGAGAATACACAATTGCTATTCAAAACTTTCCTTTTTACACATGTTCAAACTTTATGAAGCACAAGGAACATGGGAAGGCATATGCTCCTTACAAGCATATAAACTTTATCTTCATCAACATCTTGCACTAGGATCCTAAAGTGGATATTCATATACACCAAGCAAACTTTACTATTGCCGAGTTGCAGAAAACTTTTGGAGCTAATTAGATTTTCTAGCACTATTGATGTTTATTCTCTATCAATAATATAAACTAATTATACCTTATATAATTAATAAAAATATTTTATTATTTCACTTTTCATTTCATATACTTACGAGTGTTTTTTTTGCAATATTTCCCATAGTATTCGTGAGTCTCCATTTTTGTCTTTACTATCTCAAAAAATATTTCATAATAGTCTTTCGGGTGTGTGATGTTGCAATGTGTTGTGAGAGCATATATACTATCATAATTGTTTTTTTTTCCTTTCAAATGGTTATATGGCCTTATATAGAATCTTAATTAATTTTAAAATTTTAACAAACCTGATATTTACTAGCTAGAAAACACAAAGTACAAATTTAAAAAAGTGACAAGAATACTCTTTTTGCAAATATTTTATTTTATGTTCTAACAAACGTTGCATGTAGTAAATATTAAATTATTAGAACAAGAAGTGTCCTTTAGAACATTTTTATTTAATATAATATATAAAGAGTTATGAAATTATTAGGTTCGCCATAACCTTAAAATTTTAAAGTTTATAATGTTTGTACTAAATTATAATTGAAAATTGAGCTCAACTCGTGAGCTCAACTCTTCAGCTCATGAGCTCAAGTATGGTCCACGCTCCTCACTCACAAGCCCAAGCATAAACTTGTGCAAATGAAACATCTTATATCCATCGTATGAGCCCAAGTGAAAGCTCATACAACTTAATATGAAAAGGTAGTCAAAATTTATACCCAAGAAACACATATGAAGCCATTGCGACCAAACACATACCAACTCAAATCATCATTTTCATCTCTATGTATGCAACAAAATTAATTGCTCAATCTCATTGAATAGTACTTGTTGAGACATATTCTCTTATATTAAATGTAGCACACCTTATATCTCCATTAAGCCAATTAAAAAATGGGTAATTGCTTGATAAAATAATTTTTAATGATTTTTCTATCCCTTGAAGTTTCAAAGATCTACAATGATAGTATATTTAAATTTTATCTCATGATCATATACATTGCACTATATTTGGCATAAAAGTCATGTATTTATCATCTCTTTATCATTACTAATGAGGAGATTCACCACTATTGGCCATGGTGGGAATTAACCTCATCCTCTACTTATGGGATTTAAATTTAATACTTATTACTATATACAGGGCATCTAAAATTAACATTGACCCATAAAAATTTCTTAATTAGTTTGAGGTCAGAGATTTTCAAATCCCTTATAAATGAGTACTTTATATTAGCTTCCCAATGATGAAAACCAATATATAAATTTACAAAACAGTTAGTTGTTGCTATAAGAAAAAACTTTGGAAAACTCCCATTTACTTAATGTACTGATTAAGAAAATCACTAAGGCCTAGTAGCTAGAAAGATTGGAATAAAGGTCCTAGGACTGAACAGAATGTTTCTTCTGCAGAAAAGCACAATATAAATTCACACAACATATCATCAAAGCACATCTATATCAACCATTCCTTGGCACTTGCATTCTGCTGCAAAAACAAAATATTAGCAGACACCTCCATCGATCATTTTTTCTAAAACCATATACTTGCTTGGTACCGGAATAAGAGCCAGTTTGTCACGCTACAAAAGAGCATAGGACAGAAAAGAATAGTAGTAAATCGTAGCAAAGTAAACCTTCTAAAATATGTTGTACCAAGAGGCAGCTTCTTGCCTTTTGTGACCCTTCACCTATCCGCCTTTGGCACACTCAGCTTGGGCATGTCAACGAGCTTGTAGTCAGCCTTTTGTGAGAGTGACAATGAAAGTCCCAATCCTATGCAGATACAGGAAAGTCAGATTATAGACGAGGCAAACCTCGGATAGATAGACCACCTTTCGGTGCCTGGAACAGCAGCCGCCGGGCATCAATCCCAGTGCCTCTTGCATGCTAACCATCTGAGCTGAGTTTTATATCTATACTAATTAGGGTTTATGGATTAGGTATGTCGCCTCTCTGCAGAAGGAAGCTCCGGCTGCCGATCGCGCGGTTGCGGCCCCTGGATTTCATCTTCAAGGCGGACAGGGACGATTCTGATGGCGGCATTTCTCTTGCTCCGGCCGGCGCGAGGACGCATATGGGCCACGCGCATCATCATCACCACAAGGGCGCGGCTGTGGGCGATGCCAGAAGCAAAGCAGGGGAGCACATTGCTCGAATTGGCCTGTTAGCTGATTCCTCCCTCGCAGTGCTCAAGGGCTCCGCTGGATATCTCTCTGGAAGCACTGCGCTTGTGGCCGATGCCGCGCATTCCTTCTCGGACATTGTTAGTATAGATCTCCTGTTTTTTTTCTAGAATCGTTCTAAAGTTTTCTAACAGGTTCTCAGCGCTGTGGCGCTACTGTCCATAAAAGCTGGAAGAATTCCCAGAGACAAGGAGCATCCTTACGGTACGTTCTTGTGCTTAGAATTTCATACTCTTGTGTTCTTCTTCTTTTCCTTTTTTCTTCTTCTTTGTTCTCCTTTATTCGTGACTCTCCAGCATGCAGGTCATGGAAAATTTGAGACGCTTGGTGCGCTGGGAATCTCTGGGATGCTTCTTCTCACCGGTTGTGGCATTGCTTGGCATGCAGTCGAAGTGATACAGGTTTTTCTTTTCTTTCTTCCATCGATAAGTTTAGAGGTTTGACACTTTCTTCTTTTCTTGTCAAGTCTGTTCTGTCCACTGCTGATATGACCACCGGTTTGGACTTTTTGAGCAAGAATTCTTCCGATCACCATGAGGACGATCACGGTTCCTCTGGCCATCACCACCACGGACTGGACTCGGAGCACTTGCAACTGGCTTTGAGTGCTGCTGTGACGTCAATCGGTGTGAAAGAAGGGTTAGTTCGCTACTACCCTCTCCGTCTTTTTTTTCCTAACGATGGTTTTCTCTTGTAGACTCTACTGGGCAACTAAAAGAGTTGGCGAGACTCAAGGGAGTCAACTTCTAAAAGCCAATGCTTGGCACCACCGAAGTGACGCGATCTCGTCCATTGTTGCTCTCATAGGAGTCGGTAAATCTCTATAGTTTCTTAAGGAAGTGTCTCTTGATGGTATGGTTTATGTCAGGTGGAACTATGATTGGAGTACCATGGCTGGATCCTGCTGCCGGGATAGTTGTCTCCGGTATGATCGTGAAAGCTGGAATCGGAACTGGATATCACAGGTGACGATAGAATTGAGAATTACCCTTCAAGAATTATTCTTCTGAATAAGTCTTCTTTTTTCCTAGTCTCCAGGAACTAGTGGATAAAGGAGTTTCAGAGTCAGTTCTGGCACCCATTCGAGAAAGCGTGTTGCAAGTCGAGGGCGTCCAGGTACGTGAACATTTGGGAAAGAAATAGCCAAAGGTCTATCTTGAGGTTCCAGAACTGCCATGATCTAAGAGGGCGACGTGCCGGTTCTTATGTCTACATTGATGCTCACATTGAGGTAAGCTGAATACAAATCTTAAACTTTTAGTGAGTGACAAACGGACTAACAGGTAGACCCTTGGCTAAGTGTCAGTGCAGCACACAACATTGGTGAAGCCGTGCGGCGTCGTATCCACGAGTATCATCCGGAGGTCGCAGAGAGTTACGTCCACATTGGTAAGATTTTCTATTCACTTTTACTAAGATTTCTCACAAGTTCGTATTTTGTAGATCCTGCAAAAGACTGGAAAGTGGATGAAGCTGAAGATGAAGAAGCTGCCTCGGCTCAAGAAACGTCGACGGTAGCAGAGAGCGATGCAAATGATAAATGCTCACGTTTGCAGCCATCTGTGGAGAAAGACATACGTAATGTCTTGTCATCCAAGTTTCAGGTAAGGGTTTTCTTTTTTATCCTCGCTGAGCTTTATATGAATCGTGAAGGATGTGACCCTCAAACATGTTACTTGCCATTTTCTCAAAGGGAGAGTGGTGGCACAGGTGGAAGTCTCCATGACACCCGATATGCTCATCAGGCAAGTAAAAGCTTGATTTTGTGACTGAGTTTGTTCTTGGATATGTAGGGATGCTGTCCAGAGAGCCAAAGACATCGAGCACGAGATCGTGTCTCAAGTTCCGGACGTGTCAACAGTGAAAATGCAACTGACGCTTAAAGACTGAATAAGCATGCATCTCTATTTTGTTGATCAAAACTTGTGTTTCTAGATAGTGGAATTTGCGAGGAAAGGCTGTATGGATCCTTACAAGTGGTCTTGCAAATGCGTGTTTAGAGCTCTTGGTATACCTTGTCCCACCTAAGCAAGCAACGAATCCACTTTTCCACGTAGAATAAGGCGTGTTTTAAAGCTCTATCAGTGCGCTGGCTATGAGTGCGAAAATGGGGAGATGGGGCGCCTTTGATCAGGACGAAGGTCGCTGCGGCAATTTCGAGCGCGTCACAGAGCCATCGCTCGTGCTCCACATCTTCAGCTTGCTGGATCTCCCAGACTTGTTCTCATTGCGGGCTGTGTGCAAGTCCTGGTATGATGCTGTGCTCTCTCCTCGTTTCATTGAGCTGTACAAGCCACCGCTGGAACCCTCGGCCGTGCTCAGGGTGAGGACGAGTCTCCCTGCCGACTGGTAAGTCCCTCTTAGTTCTCTCAGCGTGATCATGGAAGCAAGTGTCTCGGTAGGGAGCTTCGTTACGATGAGGAGCATTTTGACTATGGCATGAAACTGGAGAATCACAGCGAGCTATGGCGTCCACATCGCTTCCAGCGTAAGAGATGCAGTCTCCCATTAGGCCCATCGGGTTCGCGCTTCGTGGGCTTGTGTTCTTCCAACGGGCTCGTGTGTGGGATGCTCATGGAACACATCGACTCGATGACTTTTGCTGTGGGGAATCCAATCACCAATGTGTGGAAGGCACTTCCTCCTGCTCCAATTGCTTCCGGGGATCGTCCACGCCCGGCTTATCTCTACATCGCCATGGAAACAGATGTCGTCACTAGCTCTTACCAGATTGTGATACTGTACCAGAAGAACCAGATCACTCCTGATGAAGCCCCGGCACAAGATGACGATGATGGTCGAATCTTCTCGCTGCAGTATGACTCAGATTCATGTTCTTGGCATGAAGGCCCGTTCTTCAGCACGCCAAACTCGTTGGGATCACCGCTACGAGGCTGTGCTTTCTTCTACACTGGGGAGAACATATTCCCGGCTTACGATCCACATTCCAGAGCTTGGTCTCACGTGGTTATCTCGCCACCGGCACGTAACGAACAAGAACAGGAAGACGAGAGTTGGGCGAACTGGTCTTTTGGATACATCGGCGCCTTCATGTACAAGGGGAAATGCTACTGGGCATCGCTCCTGTTCGATCCAGAGAAGTGGGGTGAAGACATTGGAGTGGCAATCTGGGAGATGAAACAGGAAAACTCAACGTGGGTGTTGGTGTCCCGGGTTCTGTCCAAGGACCTGTTTGGACCAAGTTGTTGCGTGTCAGTCGGGGACAAGGATATGACAGTGAGGTTGGTCGAGGACACTGTCTTCATCTCGGCTTTCTACAGGAAGGAAAGCCATGGGGTGTGGCCTCCTGTTGCATACGACTTTTCTCTGTCCAAGTGGTATACTTGTTGCATGAACAACGAGGATATTGAGTGCAGCTATGTGCTGCTACCCAGCCTGTCTGCCAAGCCTTAACAGGCCTAACTTTTTATTAGTGATGGCTTAAAAATGTTAAGAAGATCCTGTGATGCAAAAACTACTAGCATTCTGTAATTTAGCTGATATAAAGAACATATCAAATTTCTTGCATCTTGATAGTAAATGAATGTCAATGGATCTTAAGTGATTCAGCTCAAGTAGCAGCATCCACCCTCAAATCCCATTGCTTGGTTGATTTTCATACAATCACCTTGATATTTACACTTTTGTTTTTACCACTAAGCTTCCCATACATCTTACCAGTGGAGACTCTATCCTGCTGATCACAAAATTTATTAGTAGTGTTAAAGTAGAGGAATTATCAGAAGAAAACAAACTAGCATAACTTTCATCTTGTAAAATTGTTCAAAGAAATTGAAATAATATAGGAGATGTTCAAGGCTTGGGTTAGGGTTAAAAGAAGTCATTTTTAAAGCCTGCTTTTAGCAGTATTCTTCAATCAAAAAACTTTTATAAACATTCTTTAATTCAACCTTTTGGCTTAAGTTGCTTGAAATCCTCAGCAGATCCAATGTACTTATATTGACCAACATGATGTAAATAACTAAACTGGCAGTCTACAAAATCATTGGTAATGATGTTTGAACAACAAGCATAGGCTTTGTCTAAAGTCAATAAGAAAATTATGTCGAAATCAAATGTAATTATGATTAATATATAATTCTTCTGATTTAAAGTGCAATCTTTTGAAGTGTTAATGACTGTTTGGGCTTTGTAGAATTCATTTTTATGATGTATTAATCTTTAAAAAAATGTATAACCTGTTTTAAAGCTAATATACTACATGTGTGTGATAGAAGACATTCCTATACCTATCTAAATTCTACACAAAAGGAGAATAGGGGAAAATTATATTTAACTTGTAAGCACACCTATTACATTTTTATGTGGGAACTAAACCAAGATTCTAAGATCGATTATCACATCCACTAGACAAGCCTTACACTTCCAAAGTTTTAGAAGCGTTTTTAAATTGCTTTTGATGTTCGAATCTATATTTATATTTGTCTTTTATTAGTCAAAATAAAATATAGATTAAATCATTTTTTGAAAGATGAAAAAATGTCAATACAGAACTTCTTTAAACACTTTTATATGGTTCCATTAGATCTATAGGCCAAAGTAATTCAATGCATGGAATTGTTGAACCATAGTTTAGAACAAAGTAATGTTTTTCTAGTATTTGAGAAGTTGTTAGGTGAGCTCATGAACTCAAAACATACCCAGGCTCCTTGTGTGCACGGAACACATTAGGGACTTGTGGCACCATGCCATAGCTTTAAGGGAAGCTTTTCATGAAATTCATTTCATCTATATCCCATAAGTGGAGAATTTTTGGGCCAATAAACTATCCAGTTTTAACATGCAACATGAAACACATCTCTAATCAATTTTTGTGACGAGTTTGGACATACCAAATAGTGCTCAACAATCAGCACAAAGACCAGATCCTAGGTGCAAAGAGATCTTCCTCAAGGGAGATAAAGATCCAACCTGTTTTGGAGCATAGACGCAGCTAGGTTGGTGTCTCTCCTCCAATGTTTCATAGATGTTCTTGCATCACAACTTCCAGGCATGCCGATGGAATCACGTTGGTTCTAGGTGCCAAGCCAATATGCCAAAAGCAACGCCACCTCAACAAGTCTCTACTACCAGCAATTAAACTCAAAGTGCAAAAACTGCTAGCAGCTGATTTCATCTACCCATTGGAACATTCTGCATGGATTTCCAATGTTGTCCCAATATGTAAAGCCAATAGCAAGCTCTGTCTTCACGTTGACTACCAGGCTCTCAATAATGTCACTATGCGAGATCATTTCCCAACACCCTTCCTAAATAGGATTGTGGATGAGATGGCAGGACATCATTTTTACTCTTTCATGGATGATTTCTCAGGCTACAACCAGCTTCCAATTCACCCAGAAGACAATAAGCTCACTGCTTTTTGCACACCATACGGAGTATTTACCTACAACATCCTACCATTTCATCCTACTGATTTCATCTACCCATTGGAACATTTTGCATGGATTTCCAGTGTTGTCCCAATATGTAAAGCCAATAGCAAGCTCTGTCTTCACGTTGACTACTAGGCTCTCAATAATGTCACTATGCGAGATCATTTCCCAACACCCTTCCTAGATAGGATTGTGGATGAGATGGCAGGACATCATTTTTACTCTTTCATGGATGATTTCTCAGGTTACAACCAGCTTCCGATTCACCCAGAAGACAATAAGCTCACTGCTTTTTGCACACCATACGGAATATTTGCCTACAACATCCTACCGTTTGGTTTATACGATGCCAAGGCAACTTTCAGCGCTTCATGACATACACCTTCCACAACTTGATTGGAAGTTCTCTCCCTGTACACATGGATGACCTCTTAAAAAAACTATGATGAACATCTTCACCACCTAGAGAAGATCTTTACAGGTTGCCAATAGCACCATTTCTCACTGAATCCAGCCAAGTGCAAGTTCGTTGTCACTGAAAGCTGTCTTCTCAATTTTGATGTCTCATTGGAAGGCACATGTCACCAAGTGCAAACAGATCCTTGAGGTGAAAACCTCAAACAACTTCAGAGTTACCTTGGCTAGATTGGATTCTTTCCATGGTTCATACTAGATTTTGCTGCTCTCACTCATCCACTAGTAGCTCTGCTCAAACACAACAGCAGTAAGCATTTGAACAGCTTCATACCACCTTGCACTCAGCACCAACTCGATCTTAGTCAGTTCACAATTGTTGTGACAACGTTTGTGGTGCCAGCAACTTTGGAGAATATGGCAAAGTATTTGGAGTTAAGCACTTCTCCATCAGACCTCCCACACTTGGAGGCTCTCTTACACCTTGCCTTAGTCATCTCCCAACAATCTGCCTCCATCTTTTGCTAGAACTAAAGAAAAGGTTCCAATGCCAAATTTAAATTCTTAAATTTAGACTTTCTAGGAGGTCACTCAACTTTGTATTATTCAAACTCAAGGGCTCTAAACCTTAAATGTCCCAAAACCATTAGCCAATTGGAAAAAGTGGTGCACTCTTATTCATGAACTCTTTCTCTCTATATTTGAACCTTATGGATTGTTTTTTAAATCATTTTTTTTTTTTGCTTACATTGATGTTAATAACATTGAAGTAATGCATTGCCATTGACATTATTGAAGTTGAGATTAGAGTAAGATGAAATATCTCTTCATACCATTGATATTAATTTTGATGAAGATGGTATTAATAGTTTGTCTATACCTTTATATCATTA